AAGACAATACTGAAAGGCAACATTTTTGAATGGCAGCAGTGGTGTTAGGGCTAAAGTCAAGAGCTGAGCCTTTACTTCAGGCTCAGCTCTGATGCCTCCTACTGAGTGCTGCTGTTCAGGGATGAGAGAGAAAAAGAACTTTTTCTCTTTTTCGGGAGGGGCTAACATTCTAGCAGTTGTTAGGCGTTTTCCAAATTTTTGAAGGCTAAAAGATTCACCATCACTGGACTAGATGATCTCTAAAGTTTCTTCCAAATCTGTAAGTATGATTCTACCCAGAGTTATTATTTCAATGCTTTTAATCACGATTGACTTCAAGAGTAGTATATTAAATAATAGAAAGTACATTCTAAAACTGTAATATTCTGAATAATTTAATTATTCTGTTTTTATTTCCATATTTAGTGCTTTTTTTTTGCACCTGAAACAAGAAACAATTTCTTTTTGATAATCCTTCTTTTCCTTTATTTGCCTGGCAATAGCTTTGCTTGCTTTTATCTCCTGTGCACTTCCTACATGTTCTTTCTAGCAAATAATAAACAAAAATCTCTAAACGTTTTCACTCAGTCCCATATCATCACACAGGGAAAAGAAGCAGTGAAATAATTAATAATATTAATAGAAGAGATTGCCCCAATGACACTGAACTGTTGACTAGAATGATTTAAAAAAAAATCATTGGAAGTCATTTAGTCCTTTTGGTCCATTCTCAGATAAGTGGTTTTATGCCAAACAATGAACAATTTATTCTTCCAATCGTAATTCTGCTTTGTTATTATCTGTCTATGTGTCTATATGTACCTGCAGTGCTCAATGCTGATCATTAACCTACCTAACATGAAGGCTAATATGAGTAATGAGGTACTTGCCTCTACCACAAATTCCTTTGATTGTTCTAAGCATCAACAATGTAATCTATGTACTGTACAAGGATTTGGCTGTTTTATGTGGTCTTGAAAGATGACAGGGATGTTCCATCTAACAAAGAGGTTATGATATAACAAAATTCATTAAATATTACTTTCACTTCATATACTGTAGCTACAAGACATGCTATTACAAATATTGTATTGCTTTTATTTGTAGGAAACCTGTTTGTGTGAATTTAAATCTATTCCAAGCTGATTCATCTCATATATTGGAGATGTATATTGTATATTTATCTCATATGTGTGCGCAAATGCACACACACACACACAAAAACACACACACAGACACAGTATGGGAGGAGGGAGGGGGAGAAGAATCCCATGCCATATAGTTTGGCTTTCAGAAAAGAAAAGAACATCAACATACATGTAAACCAATACACATCTCAGTTGATCTGCAGAGATAAGAAATCAGGTCAAGCCAAAAGGTTTTCACATTTTTTATTGTAAAGCTTTGGGAGGGCTAATTACAGTGGAGTTTGTCATCTGACAGCTCAGCAAACCAACAAAATGGAAGAGAACAAAATGGGCTCACGAGATGTCATGCTCACGGCTCCAAACAAAAAGGATTACAAGGGAATCAATTGTGCTCACAGTGCCAGGGGAGAACTAAGCCCTAGGCCCAAAGCTTTCCCAGTGCAAGGGATATGCATCACATTGAGAGCAATACAACCTTAGCAAGAGAGAAAGAGGCAGTATCTAAACAAATGGCACAATTCAAAAATAGTTGGGTACTCTTTACTCTGCTGTAGGATTTCTCCTTTAGAAAAAGCTACACCTGCATGTACATAAAACTGTACAAAAAAACAAGGCATCACAAGCAAGAACTGAAATCTCGTATAAATAGAATCAACACGAAGAATTACAAAGGGGTAGCTTCGTTCCATCTCACTCAACTGACCTGTGTCTGGCCTTGCACCTTTGGTATTACCCCTGGCTTGTCCTAAAGTAGTGCTCAAAGTTCTTCTCCTTGCCATTGAATGTGCTTGTCTAGACCAGAACTCATGGAATGGTCTTCTTCCTAACCTTCTCCATCTCTTTTCCTAGGCATGTATTTCTTGGTTTGAAATTGTGAAGGTGAGTGTCTCCTAAAGGTATTTTGACCATTGGATTATCAACCACTTACACTCTTAGGGCATCTTTATATTTTATAACTATATTCATCAAAACTATATTTCAATTACTACTGGTGCCATCTTCCTTTTTGCCTCACACAAAACACATTTCAAAGTCTTGGTTATGTTTGGGAGGCCAGGCAATACTGTTTTTCAATCCCTTTCCCTGAATAGCCAGTCTTTTTTATTTCATATCTCTGACAAAACCAAAGGAAAAGAGATGAAGAACTCTCCACGTTCACGTTATCAGCCTTGGCTTATTACCAAAAAGCAAGCTTATTTGTTCCAATGGGCCTATAGCAAGCATATCCAAATATAGAAGCAATTCTGGGATGAGGTCAGTTTTATAATTCCCATCTACAAGGGATGGACTAGAAATTAGATTGCCTCTGTTATATTTTGATCGATAAGCCTAAAAGAGGATAACCTTACCTGAGCAACACAGGTATTCCTTCATTAGTGATTTTGGCTTCCATCTATTCCTTTCACAGTGGGATAGAATAGAATAGAATAGAATAGAATAGAATAGAATAGAATAGAATAAGAAAGGCCTGTCCTTTCCATACCATACAGTTGCACTTGAAAAAATCTGGGTATGGTGGATAGCTGGAGACCTCCTTGGAGAGTGTTTATTTATGCTTTTATTTATTTACCTCAGTAACTATATTTACACATACAGTCCAGACAGATTTTTAACCAAGAATTGAGGCACAAGCCAAAGCGGCCTGGTTTGCTAAGCTATAATATGTGGGTTCACATATCATATTAAGTTAAAAATCAACAAACTATTTCAGAACTTTTTCCTGCTTTCATCACACATGATCACTCTAACCTTAGGCTCTTGATACAAGAGTGGATAGGAAGTGCTATATTCCTGCTCTCCATCCTATGGATTGCTGCTGACATAGCCCTGAGCCTTAAAAAGTATAGGGGTAGAAGAGAGGAAGTCCTTGGTTTTTATACACACTGGAACTTGCCAGTGATCTCAAACCTGGGACTCTAATACTAGAATTCAGACACTTAATCGTCCATGGCATGTGACAGCTTACTATATGAGTAGAGTCACTGGATTTTTTCTGGAATGCTTCCCACTACCACTATGTATGGTTAGAAGGCGATCAGCAGTCTGCTCATTAGAGGACAGAGAATGCAGGGAGACACTAAAATTTCATATTATCCTAGAAATTATCTCTGACAATCAGAAGAAAATGAAAATTGCTCTATGTTGATTTTACCAGTTTACTAGTTTGATAACCAACCTATCTCCAAATGATCAGTCCTGTCAAACACGTACCCATATACCCACACAATAGTTTTACAAAACATATCATGTTTGTTTCCTTTCCTTCTGATACACATGCAGTTGAGAAAGTTGAACAGAGAGACAGCAAAGAAGGACAACATCCAGCCCACCTTCTGCAATACAGTTTAGAAAAACACATGGCAATGTGCGGGAAGAAAGTTGGGCCTGTTGGAACCAGAAGAATTAAGCCAAGAGAAACAAGATGGGTCCAACAAATGTCAGCTAGTCTGGTGGATAGGGCCTCAGTCTGGAGACTGTCTTTCATTACCATATGTACTGGAAAAGTCCTATAATTACTAGCTGGCAAGTGATTGCCATTAATACTATACTATCTGGAATCAGGCCTAAGACTAGAATACTGAGGGATTTAAGAACTTAATCACCAAAGCAGCCCACTGCTTGCTGGAGGAAGAGTGCTCTCTTATAAATTCAGAGCTGGTCTTTTGAGTGATCCCAAATGATGGCATCAATGGATGGGGATAATAATGCCCATAAATAGTTGCACTGTTTTTATGGCCCCCTAGTGAAACTATGACAGGCTCCTGCAGTCAAATACTATGTGGTTAAACATGTGGCACTGGAAGAGAATATTGGAGCCCTTGAGGCTGTCTAAAGGCATAGGGAGGGGGGTATGTGACTCCAGCATACAGAGGCCCATGGGCCCAAGTGTGACCCTGAGTCCAAGCTCCATTTCACAAAGGCAATGGTGGCTTACAGGCAGACAAATCAAAGGCCAGAATCATGGCACTGGGGTCTAATAACCCCATGGAAATTCTCTGCCTCACATGAGGCAGTGGAGTAATCCCGGGCAGTTAGATATTCTACCACCTGAAAAACTAAAGGTTCTTTCACTTTTTTTACTACTGCGGCTCATTATCTATGGGGTAGGGGCAAAGGAGGACAGCTAAAAGCTATGACTACTAGCTATAGGGCTCCTCCATACCTGATAAAGAGTTTCTGAAGTCTGAAAAGTGATTAAGATTTTAAAACTCTGTTATGTCCTTCCTACTCAGTCCTGCTGACCAGCCAGAATGCCCCTCTCCCAACTGATGCTTCATCCTTATTTACACTGTGGAAGTAAAGGGTGGGCTGGTTGGAAGTGTTTGCCCCAATGTGCTCTTCTGTGTGGTGAAAAATTCAAGCTGAAAATTTCTCCCTGTGGTGTTGTTTGTTTCAATGTCTTTTTGTTCCAAGGACAAATAAAACTCAATCAGGCAAGACATAAATGTCATTCTTAAAATTCATATTTACAGGAGTCTATAGTAACAAGAGAGGCAGCTTTTCCCCCTGCACCTGCACCAAGTGCTCTCAGCCCTGTGCCAATGGACTCCACCAAATCTGCATGGACCTTTGGTAACTAAGCCATTACCCACCCACCCCAGTCCTGAAACAAAGAAGCCAAGCTCTCTTCACTATATTCCTTTCTCTCTCTTTCCAGATATCCATGGACCACTCTACGGAGAGCTTGGCTATTCTGGTGGTGTCAGTTCCCTTGCCCAGTGAGGAATCAATGAATGAAATGTTTCCATGCCCAATGACTGGGCAAGGCAGTCTTATCTGGCAGGCACAGAACTGCCAAACTGAGTGATAAAGAATCACAGTTTGAAAAGTCACTTCATACTGGAGCACTAGACACTGGTCTCAGCATTGTTTTCAGATACTTTATATGGCCTCCTCATTCTCACAGGTAGATCTCTCGTTTGGCAGTTTGGGATGATGGTGTGGTGGCTGTCTGGAAGTCTGAGGTCTGGGTGAGAGGGATTTCCTCCATGGGGGAATTCTTGCAGGGCTCATGGCTACTGTTGGAGAAGGCACTGTATGTGGGGAGCAGGCGGAGGTTAGCCATTTTGGTGTTGCGCTCTTCTGAGAGTCTGGGGCTTCCATTCCCAACTTGTTCTTGACTCCCTCTGTCTTGATAAGGCACAAATGTGGAGAATTTGAGGGCATTCTTGGGCCGCCGGTTTGGAGAGGACTGACCTGGCATCCAACAGGTATCAGAGTGACCAAATTCTGTGCATTCTCGAGTACAGGTCCCTGTCAAGGCTACATCAGGCAAAGGTCGGAGATCTGTAAAAAGAAACAAGAAAAGGGAAGAAAAAACATTCATTCATACATATATAATGCAACAACATGAGTAGGTAACACTTACAGCTGGGAAAATATATCTAAACAGTAATTTCCTTGTAACTATCATAGAACCATAAAATTGAAAAAAAAATGATATACTGTAGATTATCAAGTCCAACTTACTCAATGAAGGAATTACTGAAATAAAGAAATTTAAAGCAGATGGCTAATTAGACGCGATATAAAGACATCCAATAACAGGACACATTGTACTGGTTGGGTTTTTTTTCAGAATAATTTGCTAATATTCTAATAAAGTTACAATTGTCCTTCCTGTAATTTAAATTCATTATTCCACATTCTATATGCTGAGAACAGGTTTTGACCTTTTTCTGTGTAGCATTCATTCTAATTTTTTTTTAGAATTTTTTAATTTTTAAGCAAACTGAAAAAGTAATGGAAAAAGATATTGATTTGTAAAATATGTAATATAGAATAGAATAGAATAGAGCAGAGCAGAGCAAAACAGAATACAGCTGGAAGGTAGCATGGAGGTCTTCTAGTCCAGCCCCCCCCCCTCAAGCAGGAGAACCTGTACCATTTCAGACAGGTGATTGTCCAATCTCTTCTGTAAAATCTCCACTGATGGAGCACCCATGATTTCTGAAGGCAAGCTGTTCCATTGGTTAATTAACCAATCCTCACTGTTAGGAAGTTTCTCCTTAATTCTAGGTTGCTTCTCTTTTTGATCAGTTTCCAACCATTGTTTCTTGTCCTGCCCTCTGGTGCTTTGGAGAATAATTTGAACCCCTCTTCCTTGTGGCAGCCCCTCAGATACTAGAATACTGCTATCATATCACCCCTATTTCTTCTTTTCTTTAGACTAGCCAAACCCAATTCCTGCATCCATTCTTCATATGTTTTAGTCTCCAGGCCTTTGATCATCTTAGTTGCTCTTCTCTGAACTTTTTCCAAGGTCTCAACATCTTTTTTGTAGTATGGTGACCAAAATTGGTTGTAGTAATCCAGGTGTGGTCTTACTAGGATTTTATAAAGCGGTACTAATACTTTGTGTGATCTTGATTCTATGCCTCTGTTTATACAACCCAGGATTGTATTAGCTTTTTTGGTGGCGGCTGCACACTGCTGGCTCATACTGTATTCAAGTGATCATCCACTAGGACTCCAAGGTCCCTCTCACAGTTACTGTTTTTGAGCCAGGTCTCACCTAATCTGTATTTATACCTTTGATTTTTCCTACAGAAATGTAAAACTTTGCTTTTCTCGACTTCTGGTTTGGCGTTGTAGAGTCACGAACACAGGAAGACAGGGTTCTGCTTTCTGTGCCGGATTTCGCCCTGCTTGGGGGCCCTTAAAGGGCCTAAAATTGTCCAAGAGAGGTGATGAGGAAGGAGGGGTGCCTCATTGATCAGAGAGAGATGGCGGTCGATCCATTGGATCCTGGCAGGGGAAAGGCTGGCTGCATTCCTGTGGCCAGCCTCCAGCTACTGACAACCGAAGAAAGTACTAATTAGCAGATCATAAATAGCATGTTTGGAACTGGGTGAGAATATTGATCCTTTCTTTACAATTTTACAACTGGATTTCCTGAAAAAGGCTCTCAAGAAGCTAAAAACCTCCGAATGTGAGAAGGAAGGGGATTGCAGCCCCACCCTTCCAGAGAAACGGAAGTGGCGTTTTAACTTTTTTATGGGGGGCAGAAATATTTAACACTGAAGTGGAAGCAATATCAAGCTATAGTTTTGATGAATTTAAGAACTGAGAACATTATTAAGATTTTCTCTGAAAGAATACTGGGGTAAAATACAAGAAATTAACCCTCTGTTTTAAGAGTTGGAAAATGGATATTGAATTACATTTAGTGGTGGATTAGAGTATAGCACCATAGCTGCAATGACTGATGCAGACCTTGCAAGAAGCCTAGAAATAGATAACAACCTAGTGTCAAGCAAGAACATCCAATGTTCTTGCTTGACACCTAGCTTCTTTGTTGTTTGGTGACTTTTAATTCAACAGAGAACAGATGGCAACAGAGAAAAATATTTTGGCATATTTACTACATATGCTTACTACATATACTGAGCTCTGACTTTTAATCTTAAGAACTATTTGGAGAGAAAGAAAAATTTGACTTCTGGCTACATTTGTCTGGGGGAGGTTTTTGGATTGTTCTTAGGGTGGTTGAACATTTTGAATACTTTGAACATTTTGGATTGCAAACTTCGGCTGATTGACAATTTCTGGATGCCTTAGCAGAAGGACTATTACAAAAGATTGTTTTCAGTGGTGGGCTTATATCCTGGAACCTATTACATTATAAAGGCTACATATAAAGACCAGAAGAACTAGATGAGACTTTGTTTTATGGACATTAAGATTGGTGGTATTAGACAAGACTAGCATTCAAAGATCACAACAGTTCTGACAGAATATCTGGAGGGGGAAAATAAAATGGATCCTTTATATCTAGCCAAAAATGGTAGGAAAACATACTTAATACTCCCATCTGAAGCCTCCAGCCAGGTTTACCAGGGATCTGCAGGAATGACACCTCAAGAAGTAGTAAATATTTTCCTGAAGGAAATACATTCGATGCTACAATTAATTCAGGAGACAATTATTTCACATAAAGAAGATGCAAGAAGAAACCATGATGAGATTAAAAACAATTTTGATAATATAAATGAGCAAATTTCTAACTTAAACTCACAACTAGAAAGTTCCCAGAAAACGACTACAAAGAATGAACAAATAAGTCAGAAAACAGAAAATGAATCAGAGGAAATTGATCCAAAGACGCAAGATATAAAAGAAGGGAAACATAAACTGGCATAGAAAAATAAAAATCTGCAAGACTTAGTTATAACAATGGAAATCGAAAAGGCACCCTATTTTTTAGGTTTTCAAAATATACCTGAGGATAAGGAAGAAGATTTTTAAAAAGGGATTATAAAGCTGTTAGGGGAAATGCCAGAAATTGGGAGACAAAAAATGAAAAGAGAACCTGAGGGAGAAGGAAAGTGGGAGCTGTTTAATGAATACAATGGGGCGGAATTCGGACTAAAAAATACCCTACTTAATTTTTTTTTCCCCATTCCAAGCAATATTCACAAAAACAGAGGAAGAATTTAATTACTTTGGCCTGGAAAGCCAATTGCCAAAGGAAGAAAACTAGAGTTACCACCATTCCAGAATCGCTGGAGCACCCTTCTTTCTTCGTCGCCTCTCCGGGGTGACTTAGACCCATTTAGGGTCCCCTGGCAGGGCGAAATTAGCCGCAGGAGTGTGGAGAATCTACAAGCCCGTGACCGATCACTACCATGTAAAACCGGAAGTCCCTGAGTCATTCCTAATATTGCATCATCCTATCATTGCATCATCCACATTACATTACATCTTTACATAAGCTGTTCAGCTGTTAATTATCCCAACACTCCTGCCATTTAAAGCTAAACAGCTATTAAACCAAATGCTTTTACATTGATGCCTGCTTGCATTTAAAACTTAGTCCACATATTAGCTTAAACAACTGAACAAATGAACAATTTTTCTCTGTATACATTCCTGCCTTACACTGCAGTTCATTATTGTGTCCTTCCATTTCTCCTTTTCTACTTTAGGTAATGATAACATTTCTTGATAATCACTGGGTTCATACCTTACACTATATGCTCTAACCCCACTTGCTGTGAATCGATCAGGAGGTACATCTTTATTGCTGCGTTCAGACCTCCTAGGGATCACCTGTTCCTGAGTTTCTGCAACTTCTCTCTTATTTCAGGTCTATCCTCATCTATTCCTGCTATTTCTGACCTGCTATCCTGTTTTTCCTTCGCTGGGTTTTGTGTAGCCTCTCCTTCCTGAGAACCAACACTACTTGTTGGCATGAAAACTTCAGTGTTAGCATGCACCCTGTTCCACTTATTTTGCTCTGTGAAACTAGCAGACCTTGATATCACAGCCTTCCTGGTTCCATCTGAAAATCTATATCCCTTGGAATCTGGCTCATATCCCACAAACCTCAGTTTCCTGGCCTTTTTCTGTCCTTTCCTTCTGGTGCCTTTAGGAATATGCACCCAGACATAACTGCCAAATGTCCTTAGGTGAGCCAATGAAGGTTTCCTTCCATACAACATGTAATATAGAGTTTCATTGATAGCAACACTCCATACCCTGTTCACTAAATAGTTGGCTGTTTTCATGGCTTCTCCCTAGTACGTGTTACTCATTCCTGCATCTGCCAGCAGTGAGTCCTTCATGGTCTACAAAATGCCATTTCTCTGTTCAGCCACTCCATTTTCTGCTGCTGTGTATGGGTTTGTACGTCTATGCTTTATGCCTAAATTTCTCAGCCACCTTTGGAAATTATCAGACATGAACTCTGTTTCCCTGTCTGTTTGCAGCTGGCATACCTTGTGACCATACCTTCTCTCTACAAAGTTCACCCATTGCTTAAACTGTTGTAGAACTTGTTTTGCTATGTAATAAATAACAGAACCCAAATCTTGTTTAGTCATCTACTAAGACTAGTACGTACCTAGCTCTTCCAAGAGAGAGCGCCATAGGACCAATTAAATCAGCATGCACTATCTGCAAAACCCTGTTAGTTTGCCTTGTGCTTTCCTTACTTACAGGAAACACACTAGACCAGTGATGGCGAACCTTTTAGAGATTGAGTGCCCAAAAACCGCCCCCCCATCCCCGGCCCACCCCCGCTCCGCCCCCAGCCTGCTCCACTCCCACCCCGCCTGCCCGCAGGGCCATCCACTGCCTCCACGGCCCGCCGCAGATCGCTCAGGCGGCCCTGCAGCGTCATGGTGGCCACGCCCTCTGCCCGCAGCCTGCAGAATATTTGGGAATATTCCCATTTCTTTCCCAGCCTTGGAGATCTTACTTTCATTCAGCCTTGTTGTTATACCCTTCTATATGTTACACCTGAATCTTGGGCACAAAATAGAACAAAATCACAGGGCTGAAAG